CATGTTGAGCAGACAACCAACACAGAAAGACTACCCGTTCGAGGTCTAAACACATTATATTCGGAGGTGTTACCCCCCGCCTCCTCCCCCTGCTTGAACAAGTTTTAGTGGGGGGGGGTTTGCGGCGGTTCCGTCCCTATGCAGCAGTTACTTCAGTCAAGAGAGAAAGCATGATAGAGTCGGGCAGATCGAGAGAAAGAGAGAGATACGTGCAGCAACTGCTGTGATGACGCCGTATGTTGTGTATGTGTCTTCGTCGATGATGTATGCATGTGTGTGGTTGTACCTGTCCATGTACACGCTTTGAAGTGAGGGTTGGCCACGCTGCTCTGTGTGGTTCGCCCCGAAACATTCACAAAGAGAAGTAGCTGCAACCATGAACAAACTGTTGCTGCTGTCTCTGCGTTGTACGGTCGGTATGGTGCTTTATCGCAGTGCAATCCGTTCTGCTACAATTGTAGGCAATGGCGGCAGTAGCAAGCGTCTGTTACAGCAGTAGCAGCCATGCAGTTGAGCAGCATGTGCCTGGCGGCTGTTGTGCACTTGTGGATTGCCTGCTGTATTGCTTGCTGCTGCTGTGTTGTATGGGCGTTTTGCTTTGCCGGGGATACGCGTCCCGCAGCCCCGGGCACAATGAAGCGAGAGATGTCCGGAGGTGTTGCCCCCGCCCCCCCTGCTGCTCAGAGAATTGTTGAAATGGGGGGTATGCGGGGATTCCGTCCCACAAATGCGTGCGGCGTGAACGCAGCAGCTCCTGCTGTACCGCTACTAGAAACATGTACAGACCTACACACACAGCAACCGGTCGCCCCGGTGGTCTAGTGGGTAGCCTGGCAGCCTGCTAAGGGCCAAATCATGGGTTCGAGACCCGGCAGAGAGAGTTTTTTTCTCACGAAATAAATCCTGGTCTACNGGTTTTTCCGTTCGTACATACGGTGGTCTAGTGGGTAGCCTCGCAGCCTGCTAAGGACCAGGTCATGGGTTCGAGTCCCGGCAGAGAGAGCTTTTTTCTCACTGAATAAATAAATCCTGGTCTAGGATGAAAGCGACGCGCTGCATAGCTCGTTTGTTAGTAAACCATAATCGACTTCGTAAGTCGCGAGGGAAGGGATTGCTGTACCCTTTTCGCGATAAAAATACCTCAGGCATGAACCGCAGGAGGGGGTCCAACCCCCCCTCCTATGTGACCCCGGTTGGGTCGTGTAGCTAGTAGAAGTGGACGACAGAGTCCAATGATGGGAAAAAAAAAAAAAAC